AGTTTGAGACAGGGTCTTGCTAAGTTGCTGAGGCTGGTCAAACTCACAGTCCTCCTGCCTTAGCCTCCTGCATTGCTGGGATTACAGGTATGTACCACAGCATTGGGCCTGGCCCTTTTAAAATTTTGAGACAGGGTCTCACTAAGTTGCTTAGGCTGGCCTCAAGCTTTTGATTCTCCTACCTCAGCCTCCCAACTCTCTAGGATTACTGGCTTGTACCACCATAGCCGGCAAACCATAGAGTTTCAGATGCTCACCACAGTGACTAGGCAGTTGGAGGGTTCCAGTCCTCATGGAACAAAGGAGGCAGAACAGTCTGCAAGACTGGTTGCCCAGTTCTCTCCTCTGGGTCTGAGGAGTGATTGGAGTTAGCAGCTCCTCTCATGAGCTGCATTTTTCATCCCTAATTTAAATAGGCAGAGGTGACTGAAAATGTGCAAATGTTAAAATGTTATTTATTCACCAGCCTGTGTGATCTGCCTGGACCATCACAGTCATTAAAATGCAGCACAGAAGACCTCTTGCTTCAGCAGCTCTCAGGGTAAAAGGAAAGCCAGCACCAAGAATGGGTAAAGATGGGAAGTTGATGGGCTGGGAATTGGCTCCACTAGCAGCCTATTCAGGGAAGCCACTGGCCTTGGTGTCCAGGGAGAGTAAGGAGCAGCCCTCCCTCTGTGTGGGTTGCTTCCTTGTTTCTCTCTAGGAGGGCAGATGGGAGGAAGGCTGAGGGCAGGGGGAGCTGCTGGAAGCACCGTAGGTGGTCTGGAGGGCCTGGGTTTGCAGGCTCCTCCTGCACGCCACAGGGTCCCTGGACGAGGTGTGTGGCTCTACCTTTTCTGATGTGTGTCTGTTCCTCTTCACCTTGTTGCTCCCACTGTCCTATAAGTAGGACACTTATCAAAACCTATGAAGGTTGTAGGACACCTATAAAGTTGCTCCATTTAAGTTTGTGCAAGTGTCCTGCACATAAGATGATGGGGCATAACTGGCAAGGGTCACTTCTTCAATGTCCAGCACAGAAGCCACAGGCGGGGAAGCCGCCTGGCCTACAGTAATGCCACTTTCCTTCCAGTCTCCTTCCTTCCTCCTCCTCCCTTTCACCCAGGGCCTCTTACATTTTAATAAGTAAGTGCTCTACCATTGAGCTTCAGGGCCATTAGCACTTTCCTCTATTCACTGTGCATTTAGTCTTCACATTACTTAGAATATGTTAATTCCCCTTCTAATTGTTTCTGAATATGCCAGTTTCTTCCAGTTTTAGGAAGCCCACTGGGGCAGACATGGTGTCTTTATACCCCCTGGGTGTGCCCTAAGGTAATCAGAATGAATGGTCACCACACCAGTTCTGGGGCTTCAACCTTCTCTCCATCTTACCTTCTGTCCTTTCCTTCTGCTGTTGAGAGTTGCAGGGATGATGAGCCTAATGGATTCTCATAACGTGCTTTATCTCTTTCAAGTACTTTCATGTACCATGCCATTGAGGATCCCTGTGACACACCTGTGAGAAACAGAGAAGTATTTGGTCTCATCTATGAGCAGAGTGTGTTGTGCTGGATGCTGTATGGTGGGTAGTAACAACTGCCATCATCTGTTGAGGTCTTAGCGTGGACCAGGCATGGTTCTAAATGGTTTACACATGTAATTTAATTTTCGCACCAGTTCTATGAAGTATTATTATGATCTCAAAATGACAAGTGATGATATTAGGGCACAAAGATGTCAAGTAATTTGCTTAAGACTGCTCACTTGTACTCATATTATTCATCCCTTGACCCTAAAGACCTATGTCATCCTGACTTTGGAGAAGAAAAAAAGCATTGAGCAGTTCTTTTCCCACCCATTGAATTGCCAGGAAACATATGCAGGTTTTTAGGGAAAGAGAATGCCAGCTTGTTAAAATCCTCAGGTTCTTAGATGCCCCTGTCCCCGCAGGAAGCTGAGAATCAGCCCAGGGCCTCATGCATGCTAAGCACACCCACAACCCCACCCCCCACCCCTTTTTTTTTTTTTTTTGCAGTACTGTACTTGGGATTGAACCCAGGGCCTTGTGTATATTAGGCAAATGCTCTACCTCTGACCTACATCCTCAGTCCTGTTTTAAAATTTATTTTGAGGCAGGGTCTCACTAAATTGCCCAGGCTGGCCTTGAACTTGCAATCCTTCTGTCTTAGCTTCCTGAGTAGCTGGGATAGCAGGCCTAGGCATCTGTGCCCAACTCTAGGGTTCTTGGATCTTGACAGCTTTTCAGATACAAGGTATCCACCCTAGGGCATTGCCTGGGTAAGTCCGTGTGATTGTCAGAATCCTTTGATTTCTTACAATCCATGATGTATTGGATAGATTGTGTTTCTGTAATGGGGTTACAATCCTCAGAGATGCTTCTCCACATATTTCCTTCCTCCAGAAGTTTCCATTTCTTCTCTCTGCCCACTTTTTCCCCCTGGCATCCATCTGGTATTGAGTTCTTGGCATCTGCCTCCCTTTCTTCATTGATGGCTTGCATGAATGAGTGGTTGTTTGACAGGGCCTTCATTGTCAGCCCCCACAGCGGCACTCAGAACATTCTCTGGGGCCTGGGTTCCAAGGTCCACCCAAGCAGTGCAGCCAAGTAGACTCCCAGTCTGGGCTGTGGTGTTTCTCTTTCGTTGTTGAGGCCTTCCCCACCCCTAGATTGTTAAATGAGAACCTGGAAGCCAATGCAGTGGAGGGGCCTGTGTTCCTGTTACCACTGTCCTGTCTTGCGTTCACATGCAGAGGACATTTACCTCGGGCCATGATCTACACACAGTTGGTCATTAGACTGTGTGTCAGATTTTGTAGCCTGGTTGACTCCCCTGTCAGCCTTTTCGGGACTATTGACCTGAACCACCATGTGTGATCATGTGTCATTCTCTCTGTGGCCCCAGCAGGCACTACCACTGGGCAGCTTCATTCTGGTTGCCAGTTGTTATGCAGGATATTCGTAGCCATGAAGTCATAGCTTCCTGGGGCCCCAGTCAAGCCATAGGAATTCAGGTCTCAGCATTTCTTCTTCCCTAGAGAAGTGATGCAAGTAGGTCAGAATCTGTTCATTGCTCAGGATCTGACCCTTGTGTTGTAAGATGGGTGAGTTGGGGGGTGTGAAAGTTCTAACGTGGTCAAGTGCAGAGGAGGGAGACACCGAAGTTCATACAGCTGGGCTCCTGTAAATTAGTAATCAGGGCCATAAGTGCAGTTAATTGGCGGCCCCCTCTGCATATTTGCCAAAAGCTGATCTGACTGTGGGGACTGAGGGTGAGGTGAGTGGAACCATGTCCAATTCAGTCCTTGGGACAGTGGACTCCTTGAGAGTTCTGACTGTTTGGGTCTTAAGAACAGCATTGTAGGGCACTAGCAGCATGCACATTTTAGAATATCAGGTCTGTATCGTAGTGCTCACCTGACTTCTCTTTTCAGAAGGGGCCTTGAGCTACATGTGTCGGGGAGTGTGGGTGCTCCACAGACAGCAACAGGCGAATCCCCCAGCCGGAGCTCTGTAGCGCCCTAGGGGGAGAAGTTTGCCACATGGTAGACTGAGGTTCTCATTACTGTCAGAGCATTGAAAGGATTTTGAAGAACCTTGCAGTCCTACCTGCTCTTTTAGACATGGAAGCCCAGCAAGAAGTCACCAGTGCCAAGGCCACACAGCAAGAGAAAGCACAGCCAGGACCAGAGCCAGATCTTCCCACTCTTGCATCAGATTCTTTTTCCCACCACCTTGGACAAACCACTGCAGGCCTGTGGGCCTTAGATTCCTCATCTGTAAAAATACTCACACTGGACCCCTTTGGTTCTAATATTCTCTGATCTTATGAATAGTTCTTGGGAGCTTTGGGCAGACTAGGGAATTATTTGGTGCATCTGTAGATGCCACTCAGAGAAAATAAGCTTGAATATTGGCTCTGGATTGTGACCTAGTGCAGGAGACAGTGTTGTGTCCCCTGGCAATGTGATGGAAGTCTTCAATGGACTGAGTTCATGCAGGGAAAGCCCCTGGGTGTCCCAGGGTGATGCTGATATTAGACACTAATTTGGTCAATTATTTATGCTACTTCAGGACAGAAGTTTTTGAGCATACAGTAGAAGTTGGCCTTATGAGCTAGTAGTGTCAGGTTTCTGGGATGTTGGGGAGGTCTCCAGAGAACTACAAATGTCTCCTGGCATTGACGGATTAGACCATTTCGTTTTCAGAGGATCAACTAAGGTTAAACTTAAACAAATATGAGCAGCTGGGAGTCTTTGGCAGGAGTGAGATACGCATAGTCTTTAAAAGAAGAAAAGTCTGTGTTCCCTGAGGAAGGAAGGACAAGGCGTGGAGCTCTGAATGGCCCCCTCTGAGGAAGGAAGCAGTTATTTCTCTGCTGTTTTGTTTTGCACTTTCAGTTAAGGAATTCCAGAAGTTGCAGGTTATGGATCATGACCTCCATTTTTTTCCTGTGTTGCTGCTTGCCAGAGGAAGGGAGGGCGGGTGGCTGTAAATAACACTTTGGCCTTTATGGAAATGTATCAGATGTTCCAGGAGTGAGTCTCGCAGGCTCTTGCTGGCTGGCTGGCGCTGGCACCCGCGCCCTGGCCGCACACTCCCTCTCCTTTCCCTCTTGCTCCTCGGTCACTTGCTCCGTCCTCACTTGTGTCCTTTCTGTAGGATATGGTTAACACTTCTCCTCGCCTTATATAGCAAGGTCTGGTCGTTAATGTTAACAGCACCCTAACAACAGGGAGGGCTGCCAGATAGCATTAATCAGGCCAGTGTTTGGAATTTCATAAATGCTCTGACTTTGGGTACAAATCGAACATGAAGAACAATATGAAACTGTTTTCTTCCTTCCCCTCTCCTCTTTTCTCCCTCTCGCCCCTCCCCACCCTCTCCAGCTTCTCTCTGTTCTCTGGTTTTGAATTCTGCTCTGCTGTACGCTTGCTGCATTGGAACTTTGTTGATTTTTGCCACGTTTAATTTTTTATTTCTCTCTGTCCACTTCAAGACCACAGGCGGAGCAGCAGCAGTCGGAGCCAGGACTCTGCAGAGGGGCAGGACGGGCAGGTCCCCGAGCAGTTCTCCGGTCTCCTCCACGGCTCCTCCCCGGTGTGTGAGGTGGGGCAGGACCCTTTCCAGCTGCTCTCCACCACAGGCCAGAGCCATCCAGACGGGTCCCCCCAGCAGGGCGCCTGCCACGAGGCCAGCATGCAGCTGGAGGAGTCGGGTGTGCACACTCCAGAAGCCTCCCAGCCCTGTGGTCTGGACCAGAGCAAGAGAGCAGGCTACCCAGCGGGCCTGCCCCCCACCAGCAGCCTGTCACACCCCGAAACTTGGACTCGCACGGCATCCCCGCACCCTGCTGGTGCTGAGGAAGAAGGAGACCGGAGTGGGGCCAGAAGCCGAGCCCCTCCCACCAGCAAACCCAAAGCCGAGCTCAAACTCAGCCGCAGTTTGTCCAAGTCTGACTCTGATCTCCTGACCTGCTCACCCACCGAGGACGCGACGATGGGGAGCCGGAGTGAGTCTCTGTCCAACTGTAGCATTGGGAAGAAGAGGCTGGAGAAGTCGCCTTCCTTCGCCTCTGAGTGGGATGAGGTAAGACCAACGTGACGTCACAGAGAACTGGGTTGGCTGGGCTGGCCGCAGCCCACCTCAGCTCCCCCGTGTGCCAACCCCTGGGACCAGGACCTGGGCTCAGGTTGCCCTGGTTCCTTCACTGAGTGACCAGCATGTCCCTGACTGTGGTGGGAAGCAAGCCCGGTGTAACCTGGGTCACAGAGGACAGGTCCGTGAACGGTTAAATTTGAGGGTGGAGGCCCCAGCAGAGCGGGGGCCCAGGGAGTGGTGAGTTCCTAGAAATGACACGCTGCTTGGAAAAGTTTGGAGCCCCATTGAAAGAATTATGCTCACCCTGAAGAAGCTTAGGAAGAGCTGAAGTACTTCCTGTGAGCCCTTCAGGAGGATGAGGAAAGACCCAGGGTTAGCGAGGAGCTGGGGTAGGGACCAGGAGGGGAGCTTGGGTAGAAGCTACTGTGAGCGAGGATCTGAGGGGGCTTTTCCATCCTGGGCACCTCCATGATAATTCCCCAGAAGATCTAATGCCTCTCCCAGTAGAAGTATCCTGCCTGACCCACATTCCCATATCGGTGAGGCGCAGAGGGCTTGGTGGTTCAGGAATCCCAGAAAGACAGTTGGGGAGAAAATCCATGCAGTGTGAGGCCTAGGTGCTTTTCATAACCATGTTACAGAATAGTTGGAAACATGTACCCAGATGTTTCTCAGTGACCTATGGCGTGTCTCACTGTGCAGAAGAATGTGTTTGTGAAAGACTGGTAAACAGCCAGGAATGTTAACGTGCTACCCTGGCAAGTTTTTTGCCTTTGAAGTGGACTCAGTCTATCTCCCAAGAACAATCTCAAGAGATGAATTTAGCCCTCCAAGAGGAGGGAGCCAGGCAGCTGACAGCCCCATCTGAACATTCTGTAGACTTGATGCCCTACCCAACTCTATTTGGGTTGCAGCTGCAAAGTTATGTAAACCAAAGCCAATCTCATTCCCAGTGTGGGAACAGGGTGGGGACAATTCCTCCAGGACTGTTATCTCCAGATAAGATGCAGTTTAGGACTCTGTTTAGTCAGAGACAGAGGAATCCTGTGCAAAAGATGGTTTTCGTTGCTTAGTAAACAAAGACTTGGTGAACCTATACCAGATGCCTGGTCACTAGTGGAAAAACACTGTGTGTGAGGTAATCCTGGGTGTCCCCTAGGACATTACACACAAGAATATTTGTATTTGTAGGAATATGTTTTTCAAAACAGTCTTACTACTTTCAGGGAGCCACAGAATAAGACAGCTGAAGGCAGGATGGGGACAGGCACAGTATGCTTTGAAATGAGGAGGGATGAAGAGAGAAGAAGGTGTGTGGTAGGGGACTCAGACGGGAGGCGGTGAGGGTGGGAAGGAGCCTCAGGAAAGACCACAGAGAAGGAGAATTTGATGTGGAATCAAAGAATTAATTCTTGTGGTTCAAACCGGAGTGAAGTCATGGGACGAGGCAAGAGCGTGGCAGGTGTCGAGGGAACACAGGCAGAGCACAGGGCTGGGAGATCTGAGGCCCTCTGGTTTCTGCAGTCTTGAGTGTTTATAGGGGAGAATAAGAAATACTGATAAAGAGTGAGATTCAGAGCTGACGTGAAAGGGCCTTGAACGTGAGGCCAAGAGATGAGCAGGTGATTTGCTCTCAGGTGCTGGAAGGCGGCTTTATCAGTCTAATGAATTACCTCTTTATGGCTCCATCTCTGAGCACACCTTCACTCTGAGAGGCAGGAGTGCTGGGCAATTCTTTACAGCATGTTCAGGCCTGGTTAACCTACAGCATTGCCAGGCAGTCTAGTGGGCCCCACCATTTCCTCCTTAAGAAGAAACAAAATCACGGAAGCCAAGCCCAGCCTAATTGAAGTCAGCTGTTTGGGCTCATGAACCAGTTTTCTTTGTGTTTCAACGTGAGGAAGTCCACGTACTGATGTTACCTTTTCAGGTAGAGGTTAGGGGTAGTACAGTGAACCAGGGACTGCTGGAGGTCTCAGTGGAATGGGCCAGTTCTACAGTCTGGCTAAAGCACCAGAAGCCTTGAAATACTTTAAATTTGAAAAAACTTAGAGGCATGTAGCTGGGTATGGTGGTGCACACTTGTAATCCCAGTGACTCAAGAGGCTGAGGCAGGAGGATCTCAAGTTCAAGGCCAGCCTCAGTAACTTTAACAAGGCCCTAAACAACTTAGCAAGACCCTGTCTCAAAAATAAAAAGTAAAAAGGGCTGGGGGTGTGGCTCAGTGGTTGAGTGCCCCCAAACTCAATCCCTAGTACCCTGTCACCACAAAAACAACAAACAAAAAACCAAAAAACCTTAAAGGCAGTTGAGATCTTTCTTATTTAGTTAGTAAGTTAGTTGTAGTTGGATGTAATCCCTTTATTTTATTTATTTATTTTAATTTATTATTTTTATGTGGTGCTGAGGATTGAACCTGGTGCCTCGCATGTGCTAAGCAAGCGCTGTACTGCTGAGCCACAACCTCAGCCCCCAGCAGTCGAGAAAAGAATTTAGAAGATTGAGCTTTGCCTGCATAATGAAAAGCAGCAAGGCAGGTGGTGCATAACCCTTCAATTTTGGGGGTGGGATGGGCTGGCAGTGCTGGGATGGAACCCAGGTCTTCACACATGCTGTGTAAGCACTCCACCACTGAGCTACATCCTCGGCCCTTTACATTGTCGTTGAGATGTGTGATACTTGATTTTTGAGGCTCCATCTAAAATGAAGTCACTGGCCCTCAACTCAGAACTTTGGCAACCTTTCCTAGGATAGGACCTTGGTTAACGGTCATGCCCCACCCTAACCCTGACCAAGTACCCAAAGGCTGCTTTGCCATATCCTGTGCTTGCTGATTTCCTCTTTGTCGACCTTCAGTGTCCAATATATAGGGAAAGTTGCTCCGGAGGAGACTGGACCCGGCTCAGCTCCTCATTCCAAGGCCTGGGGAGGGAGAGCAAGGCCCAGGGGCCGGGCAGCTGTGATCTCAGCGTAGGTGGAGTTGCGGTGAGTCTGGCAGGTGGCTCCTCGAAGGCAAAGCAGGGTGAAGATGGGCTCAGAGCTCAGTAGACCCGGCTTTGAGCCCAGTGTCATCGTCTGCTCCCTTTGGTGCATGGATGGGCTCACAAACCTCAGTGCTGTCATCCTTATTTGTGAAACAGAGGCAGTTAGATCTGTTTCAGAGCGTTTAACAATAAGAGATGTGTGTAAGTCCCTGGCATGCATAGGGGTTGGCTGGGTGGCAGGCATTAATATGATTATTGTGCCTAGAGCTATAGAGAATGGGAAGGGAAGCCTGAGTGGCCTCTGACCTGAGGAAAGGCAGAACTCTTTATGTATGGTCCTGAGGGAAGGGTGATCAGTGACTGGGAGGCAGGAGATGCAGTTCAAGCCCTTCAGCTGAGGGTCCTCGTGCAAGACTCTGCTCCACCCCAGAGATAGAGAGCCTACCCAGCCTGGGAAAGTCAGGTAGGCACCCCCTGTTGATTTTTGAGGAATTACTGAGCCTTTCTACCTAACTCTCTGAGAGGAGGAAAGATGTTAGAAATCCGCAGCCCTCTCTATTAATTTTTCAAATGTGTTCTTGTACATAATATTTGGCTGGCTGCTTGGGAGGATGTCCTCTTGTTGGACAATGTGCCTTGCTGGTAAGTTTGGGAGTCATGCTCCTTAGCGTTGGCAATGCTGCACTTGTCGAATTGCCCTAGACGAGGTGACTTCTGAGTGTTGGCCTGGTGAAGGTAAACCTCTGAAAGAATAGCCATCAGTGACACATTTCCTAATGTGTCACTTCTTATTTTCTCTTATAGTTTTGATAATGAAGCGTTAATAGAATTTGCCTTCAAAAGAGCTCAGCCTAACATGCTGTCTGCCTCCGAGTTCCAGTCAAGTGTCCACGGTCTCCACTCCAGTCAAAGCCCTCTGCATCGCCTTGATCCCTGAGGCACAGTGGACGTTAAACTGAGAAGCTGTTTATAAAGGAAGCTTTAAATATAGATAGAGTAGGGGAAATAACCCACACCCCTCTACTCATAGTTAACCTCTGTTGATATTTGATATACATCCAAATTGGAGGTCTTAATATATTTACTGGTTTATAATTTGCTTTTCTCCATATTGTGGATATCATTTTTTGTTTGTTTTTTCAGTACTGGGGATTGAACCAAGGGGCATTTTACTACTGAACTATATCCCTAGTCCTTTTGTATTTTGAGACAGGATCTCACTAAGTTGCCCAGGCTGGCCTTGAAAACTTGTGAGCCTCCCGAGGACACTGAGATTTCAGGTGTGTGCCACCACACTCAACTGTAGATATCTTACCATGACAGCCTCAGTAAGATCTGGATTCAGTTCTTCATTCTAAAAGGGTTAGTATTCTGTTATATGGCTGTATCATAAGGTTGGTTGGCTTGTTATTTAAGCTGTTCTCCCAATGACTCGGGAGGCTAAGACAGAAGGATCACAAGTTTGTGAAACATTAATGATTATAAAATCTGCTGGGTGTGGTGGCTCATGCTTATAATCCTAGCAATTTAGGAGGCTGAGGCAGGAAGATCACAAGTTCAAGGCCAGCCTCAGAGACTTAGGGAAGCCCTAAGCAATTAGCAAGACTCTTATCTCAAAATATAAAATAAAAGGGGCTGGGGATGTGGCTCAGTGGTGAAGTACCCCTGGGTTCAGTCCCTGATACCAAAAAAATAAACTGTTCTTTAACCATTTGATGCTGTGCCAGCCATTTTCCACCTGCCTTTTGGATCATTTCCTTGCCCTCTTTGTGTGCTTGTGTGCCCCTGCATTAACAGGCCAAGGGAATATTGGAAGGGCTGTGTCCCTTAACGCACCAGTCTTAAGAGGGATCTTCTCCCAGCAGCTGTTCTATCTCGGTTTTACTGGAGGCCTTTTCTTCCCCCTCCTGGCCTGGGGCTCTTCACTGTGACCAGCTTCTGTCCCTGTGGCTCTCCCTGCGTGCTGCCCAGACCAGCCTAAATGAAAGAGCCTATTCTGAAGTT